TTCCAGCTCTGCTCTTGTGTCCCCTCTGGTCAGCCTAGCCTAGCCAAGTGTTTCATGGCCACTGCTGTGTTTCTAGGAAACTCTGAGAAGCTGCAGAGTCCCTGCATGAGCACTGTGCACTGTGGCATAGCTCACCATCCCCACTCTGTCCTGCACTTCCTTGTGTTGAACCCACAGGATGCTGCTCTCTCTCTCTCCAGTGCCAATTGTTTCTCCAAATATGAAGAAATGAGGAAGGAACTTAAAGGAAGGCAGGGCAATAAAACAGTAAATGAATTTYAGTTTAAGTGTAAGGTGATGTGCATCAGGGACAGAGGGAATGACAATTCTTGATGTTATTTTGATGTTATTCTGAACATCACAYATGAAATAATGTGCTCTGACTGATTGTTACTGCAGAAATGAGATCCTGGGCTTGTTGAAATTTCTAGTTTGGCTGAAAACCAAGTGGAGGATGTCATTACACCACTGATAAAGCTGTGGTACATCTGCATGCTGGCTTTTGTGTGCACTTTGCATACACAGTCCCTTCATTTCACAAAAGGTAAAGTAGAGCTGGAAAGATTCAGAAAAGTTCTGTAAGGACTGACAAATGCCTGGACAGCTTGCCTAAGGACACAAACCAAGCAAGCTATGATTGTAACCTGGAAAAAAGATAACTAAAATGGGATTATAGATGCCTAAAAAGTCAGGAATTATATGTAAAGGTGACTGGGGATCAGTTGTTCACTGTCTCTTCCAGTGCAAGAACCGGGGGAGCTCTAAAAGTACGTACGTTCTAAAGGAGCAAGTTCAAAAAAAGGAAGGAATYGTTTCCTTGCTTAGTGGCTGTCTGAACTCTCTAGGTACCTTGCTACCTGTTCAAAAGCAAACTGGCAGACTCCGGTCTGGGACAGAGCTGAGCTGGTATCACTCTGTATGACAGYTGGTGAGTTGGGGCTCCTGGAAACYRTGCACCAAATCTTGGTCACCTGCAGTCCCTATCTTGGGATGCAAAGGTGGGTGTAATCACCTCTCACCTGAGGCTGGGRACACCCCACCATGCAGCACTGAAAAAAAAGCTTTCCCAGATGCTGCAAGAATTATTTAAAAGCACATTTGGTAATCAGCAGTATTTTCCAGGTAGCAAGCACTGATTTACCTTTCTCAGCTGTCCCTCCAGATGGCAATGGACTGGYCAGGTGCCTGTCCTCATCTTTTGCCTTTGGTGTGTAAGGGCATGGCCCCGAGGTGGTTCCCAGACCTTTCCTCCGAGCAAAAAAGAAACGTGTTGTCCTTCCAAACTCCCATGMAGCCTGGGGCCAATTGCTGAGTTACTCCTCTCATCTGCTTTGGTTGCCCTGCACTACAAAAATACTTCCATTTTTGTCATGGTAGGCGAAACCTTGATGTACCGTTATCTTTTCTCACACCTGTCATTCTCTTGGATCCCACGCCAAATGTTGCTTAAGCATCAGCGTAAAGTAGGCCAAAGTTTAATGTGTCTGGAAAGAAAGAAGAGATGGGRTAGAAAAAATAAATCTTAAGTAGTTTGAAGTAACTAGTTTTCTTTTAAGAATGCTTTGACTTGAAGGATTTAAGAAAGGATAGCTGAAAGCTGGTGAGAGAATGATCTCCTGGGTGTAGGGTTACACACATTCAACTTGAGCTTACATTCGATTTTTCTTTTAAATGCTGGGGGCCAGAAGAACAGGGGCTAATCAATACAAACATCAAACCYTGAAAAGCTGGGCTTCTGCTTCTCTGTCAACATCACACAGGCAGTTTTAAGTGTGGTGTTCAGTGCCCTGTTAGCAAAAGAAACATTCAGTGTATGTTTGGTTTTGCTTGYGGGGAGTTGGACACAGAAATGTGCCTTGCAGGTGTGGTCGCTCTGTGTCCTGCAGCAATGTGGATGTGAGTAGGTCCCAGAATGAGTAGGCAGCAGGGCTCAGACTGGGGCCTTCCTCATGGAGGGGGAAAATTTATAGCTAGGCTTGGCCTGGTTTAAAAGTGCATGCAGTCATCGTAGCTCTGTCGGTGATAATAGCCCCGAAATGCGTACACATTTTTCCTTCGTGCATAATGCTGCTTCATAGTTAGGATTATTTAGCTTATCCATTACCTCAGTTGTCTGAGGACACACTGTAAAAAAAAAAACTATAGAAAAGGCATTTTAGGCTATGTGAATGACTTCAACATAAGGAAAGCATGACTAAGGGCTGAGAGAATGTGCAGTGAAAATTACCCTCTTTAGGCTGAAGAAAATTCCCAGAAAAACTAGGCACGCGGGAAATGCCTGGCTCTTAACGCAGCTGCTTGTACAATGTTTGTGGACAGAAAGCCAGCCCTCTATAAATGCATCATATTTTGGAAAGTATCTGATAGAAAATACAATCAAAGGACCTTGCTTTTATCTCCTTTTCTCTGCGCTGGAGTCAATCTGGCCGGGCACATGTACTTAATGACTTCACATAATAGAAATACAGAAAACCACATGGGTCTGTAAAGTACCCTGATTGTGTCATATTGGTGCATTTCTGCTGCATCCAGAGCCTCCCTGTGGGGCAGATTTGGGGCGTTATTGCCTGGGCACTCCCTCAACTAAGTGGTTTTTGAGATTTTACATCAACAGGCAGGCATAGTTACAACAGCGATGAGAGCTTGCAAATATGATTTCCTTTTTATCTTAAGAGCTGAGGAAGAGAGTAATCTTGTGTTGTCAACCTCCAGTTACTAGTAAAAGCTTTCTTGTGCTGTTGTTCCATCTAGCTGAGGTCCCAGTCCCACTGTCACAGCTGTGTCCTCAACTCCTGTGTTGCTTTGTCTCACTTTCTCTCTCAGGTTTTCTCATTTGTTTCTGAACTATTTCAGCCACCATTTGYGTGCTTTTTAATATTGAAAACAGTCCTCTTAACTTGCCCTTGCCATCATCTCCCAGGCTCCCCGATGCTGGTCCTTGAGGCACCAGAGTCCTGCCACTTGTCCTTCATTTYTGCTTGCTGCTGCAGTTCTCACTTCAGCATTTTGCAGCAGCAAATGAATGGGAGACTTGTCTATACCCTTCTGCTTAAGAATTCTTTCATGATTTCATATGGAAGTGTTTCCCAGAGGTTCACAATATATTTCTGATGAATGAGCTGTTCCTACAGAAAACTTACACTATCAGAATTCTGTTTCCATCAAGGAGTGGAGAAAGAACAACTGTTTGGGAGCTTAGTGAAATCCAGGCATAGTGGCTTTTTTTCCTACTGATACATGTATTTTAGTGCAGATGGAATAAATGTTTGCTTAGTCAAGACTTAGAAACATTATTTAGGAAGGAAAAGGGAAGCTGCAGGTAGAGGATGTGTCTGCTGACTCTGCTTACTAGGTAGAAGAGCCACTCTAGGTGCAGACATGTCTCCAGCTGCTGGATGTCTGCAACATCAAGGAAAGTAGAATAAAACACATCTTGGCAACATAACAGAAACAAAATCTAAAAAAAGAAAATTGACTCTGCTAAGCACATGAAAATACAAAATTACATCTGGTGAAGTRAAGGTGCAAGGTTTTTTGCCCAGAAAAACATATTAACCTTTTATGGAGGTGSATGTGTCCTTGGGAACTTGGGAGAGTTTCATAACATGAGAAGGAACAAGAAATGACAATCTGATAGCACTTCCTCAAGAATGCATGGCATTCTTTGTTGTGAGTTTCATGTTCTCTACGGGATGTGGATGACTCAGGCTAGAACTTGAAAAATACATTCAAACCTATAAAGGAATTATTTCCCATAGGTGTGGGCAGGCGCCAGTTCTTTGTTGCTTCCCAGTATGTTGTAAATCAGCTACATGTAGTATTTTTTTTATGAATGAGAAGTAWGAATGACCTTGCAAGCAACTTTATGACAAACTTAACTGTGCCTAAAATTAAGTCTGCTTTCTGCTATGTGATGTACATCTCTGGATTTTCCCTGAGAAGGGAATCTAGCTGAAAAATGTTGTTAGCAAAGACCAGGTTTTTCTAATGATAATAGTGTGAATATTTTAAACTGGAAAAAAAAAGCCTTCTCTTTCTGTTTGCATCTTTGCCATGTATGGGGGAGCATTGTTGGGCTGCGGGAGAAACAGAAACAAACACTTGCATTTGCTTAGGCTTTCCGTAGGGCCAAAGTTTTGGACTTTGAGCCTTGTTCAGTTCTGTTATTCTTGGTCTCTGTGAGGCTGAAGCTGATGTAAAGCTGGAACACTGCAATGGGGAGTCAGGAATCTTGTCTTCAGGCTTTTCCCATCCTTGCTAAAAAGGATCTGATCCAAAACACGGCATTGCATGCTTGTCGTGTCCTGAGACTCTGACATTCCAGCCAGCCAGGATCTCCATTTGTGTATGAGCCTTATATTTATGAGGCAAACCTCTGAAGCCCAGCAGCTCTTGTGTTGCAAGGGGTTATTGTGCTGTGCCCTTGGGAACGAGGATTAGCGCAGACRTGCCCGCTCACTCCCCAGCACAGGTGCTTAGTGAAAGAGTAACTGCTTGCAAAGCAGAACGGAGGTCCTTGAAAAGAATTAAGATTGGGCTGATATCCAAGCTGGGAACTGTTCCTGTCCTGTTTGGGTTAGTTCACGCTCGTTATATAAATATTGAACAATGGTTGCTTTTTTGAAGGTGCTGAGCACCTATAGCCTCATTCGGTGTCAGGAGTGTTTTGCATACTCAGTGTGCAATCCTTGAGGAAAAGATCTCAAAGAGGATCTTACTGAGTGCCCTGTTTAATCCTGCTCCTTGCAGGAACCATTGCACAAAGGTTTTTCTACTGCTCTTTCCAGTTATGTTTAGTAGATTCTCCCTTAAAGGGAATAGATATTAGAATAGTAGATTCTCTTAAAGGGAAGAGATAAAAGGAGATATTTGCTGCATAGCAAAATGTCCCTTGACTGCCTCAGCAATCACAATTAGCTATTTTTGAACATTCTGTCCTCCCATTTGTTTGGCACTGCTAACATGTTTAACCTGAATAGCTGCACTTTGTCTCCTGGCAGACCATGCAACAGATGAGCGACCACCGCTACGACAAGCTGACAGTGCCTGACGATGCCGCAGCCAACTGCCTCTACCTAAACATTCCCAGCAAAGGGCAYGTCCTGCTGCACCGAGCCCCTGAGGAGTACCCAGAGAGTGCCAAGGTGAGCCTGGGGTCCTGGCAGCCCCTCTGGCATGCCCACCTCACTGGGGGTTGATTGGGTGCTGTTCACAATGGGCTGTTGTGTCCCACCATGGAAACAGCAGAGGGCAAAAGCTGGGAGGCCTGGGCTCTGCTCTTTGCTCACTGCTGGTGACACTCGGTCTCTGGTGCTCTCCACATTAGTGGGTGTAGCAGCAGCTCTCTTGCTGCAGTGTGATGTGTGTGAGTCGCACAGCCAGAATGCCATGTGCACTGTAAGTGTTCGTGTTGATTCACAACGATGGCATGCTGACCAATCCATTTCTGTTCATTCTGTAAATACACAGAGAAAAGGGAAAGCAGAGGTGTAAAGTGTAATGATTTTCGCTTATGTTTTCTTTCCTGAACAGGTATTTGAAAAACTGAAGGACCACATGCTGATCCCAATAGCCAACACAGAACTGGAGAAAGTAGATGGGTCCCTCACCTGTTGCTCTGTGCTTATTAACAAAGCTTCAGAATTATGAGTTTACAGAGTTCCTCCCTTGTAACTGGCAATAATGTTACACACAAGGTAGAYGAATCTGTATCCACACTTTTATTGTTTTTATTGACAATCTACTGTACCACTGTGCTACTAACCCTTGTTTACAAATTTTTTGCATTGTGAATTTTTATTATGTCCTTGCAGATGGTATTTAAGGTGGATGTAGGGYTTGTTGGAAGCACATAACTCTGAAGTAAGTTAGTCCTATGGGCTAGCAGAAGACCATTATAATGGCTAACCCTTAGCTTTAGTGATTTAACATATCTGTGTGAAAATTTTATGAAACCCAGCTAATTCTCAATATTTCAAGCACCTCTGTTGTCTTTACACTGTTCCCYCCTGTCTTCTTTTCTCTTGCTTCCTTGATTTACATGTTTTTTTCCTTCCTCAGTCTTCTACTTTCAGTGGTGCAAGGTATTGGGGGGACTGAAGAAAATTCAGTGGGCTCACAAACTGGGTACCTTGTGTGGCAGGGAAGCTTTCTGTACCCTGGCTGAGCAGSGGACAGTGGAGTGTGCTCACTGTCCTGGCCATGTCACAGTGCTGCTGCTGGGCACAGCTGTGCTGGAATCCATTTCAGATACCAGGTACCAGCTTTGGAAAAGCTTCCTCTGATGGGAACATTCAAGGGCAATGACTGCCTGGGAAACTTGAATGACAGAAGAGAGTAGTGCAGCCACAAAAGTTGTCTCCTGCAAATTCAGGTCCCATCTTCCTTCTAAGACCACGATTTTCAATGTGGTGAGAATGGGAGAGGAGTTTTGAAAAAGGCCAGATCCTRGGAAGCCTCTGGACCACAAAAACTAAAGGCTGAGATGCTTTCAAAAAAGTTAAATCTACAAAAGAAATATAAAGTATGGGGGAGTTAATTCTCTTTGTTTACATCTTAACATTTATTTGTTTCTCCTTTCTGTTTTCTCCTCTTTTGGAGGCCACTTACTAGCAAAATTCAAAAGAAAAGGGTGATAGAAGGGGTTGAAGGACAGCTATTCCTGGAGTATGCCCATGAATAAGGGAAGCTATTTTTTCCTGGAAGACTGGCATTTATACTTTATCTGCCCTTGGGGCAGTTTTCCTTGGAACAATAACCATCTTATTTCGTTTTAGTGGCATGAATATTCACTGTGGTATTCAGTTAAGGCAAATATAATTTTTGTAGCAGATTCCTCAACATGTTTACCCACTGAGTCATAGGTTTTTTTTTTTTTTAATCACCACAGAGTGAAGCACACAGCATTGTATTCACATGCTTCTTGTTAAGTCATTTGTAAACTAAGGATGGGAGAAATTCCCAAACAGAGGCAGTAGTGGGAACTCTCCAGAGACCGACAAATAGTCTGGACGTGTTATCAGCTTCCTAGACATCTCCCCCACCTTTCCTGAATCACTTGTGGCATGTTGCTGAGGTGCAGTAGGAAGTGAGTGAGGGGACTGAGGCAGTGTTGTCTGCAGGAAAGCAAACAGTGTTAACCAAGTGCACGCCTGGGTCTGCTTTGGAAACCTGCATGCTTTCTCGTGCAGTCATAAGGGAGGAAACGCAAGTACTGACACCCACAGGGTCCCTTSAGCAAATCTCACACGGGATCTCGGTGCTAAGGAGGGGAGAATCTCCAGGCAGCTACCAGAGTACACCTGATACTTGTGGGTGCCCTGTACGTTGTGGTGACACGAGGTATCCTGGGGAAGAGAGAAATGACAGATGAATATGTTGGATGTGAAAAGAGCGTGTCCCAAAGGAAGTTCTTCAGCCAGCCAAACAAAGGGGTTGGATTTTTTTTTTCTCTTTATGACCGTGCTGTCCAAAGGGTAATCCTAATGTTTCCCCTTTGTCTCTTCCATTCCCATGCACCATCATTTAAACCTGAGCCAGGTTATCAGGCTCTAAGGATGTAAATGTCGCAGTGGGGAATCTTTTTCTGCCTTCCCTTGGTGCTTTTTAAATATTTGATAAAGTGTCATGCATTTCAAAATATCTTGACATTAATCAGAGATTTTGTGCCAAAAAGTGGCCAAGCAGTATTGAGCTGTGAGCTCCTAAAGGCRAGCTGTGCTCCATTAAAAACCTCTGCAGCCATGGGACCTGTCATACAAAGCTAAAACACCCCCTGCCACCCTGCCTTGTCCATGTACCCCCTGGGGCCTGGCCCCCATCTATGTCCTTCAGTTCCTCTTCCCTCCTCTTGCTAGGGGGACCAGAGCATCCAGCTACACTGGGAGTGTTAGGCTGTAGGATTTCTATTTTATTTATCTTTAAATATTTCTATATTATTTTTATTTCTTTGTTCTTCTTCCACCCTCTCTCACCTTTCACCTGTCTCCTTCCTCAGACTCTCATTTCTAGTTTGCTCATCAAGGCATGGTGATCACTTTTCTCTTTTAATMCCAAGTGGTTTTGCCTTCTGTTGCCTCAGTTCTTACTTGAGTCTTTTTCTTCTCCCTCTTCACTGTTCACTCCAAAGTATCTCACACCATGGTGGACTATCCTAAACTCATTCCCTCCCTGAGTAGGTGCCAGGAGAGAGGAGAAACTGAGGGGTCTGCATTGGGTCTGAGCAGCTTCTTTTGAGCTGGAAGGGTGACGGTCAACAGGAGCCGTCGATCGAGAGAGTGACAATGGAGACTCCTTTTTAAGGTTTCTCCAGAAAAGTGAATCATTTCCYTGAAAGCAGTAGAATGGGTGATAATGAATTCCCGGAGAGAAGGAGTCAGGATTTCAGAGCTGAGAAACAGCTGTGCAGACAGAGAGGTTGGTTTTTCATCTCTTGCCATTTAGATTTCCATGGCTTCAGGGCTGCATTTTGGTATACAGGAAGCAAGGGAGTGGCTGAGGGACTTGAATTCCTTCAGGTGTTGTATTCAAACTGTTTAACTTCAGGCACAAAATTTAGGTGCTCTAAAACCACACCTGCTTTCTCTCTGTAGGAATCACAGCCTCTTAACATAGATGCTCCAAATTTCATCTTAGTCTGATGCCAGAAGTTACCTAAGCTGGTTAATGGGATCGCCCTCACCTCACAGCTTCTAGCATTAGTCTTTATTCTGGCATTAGTGAGAAAACCATTATGAGTGCTTCAGTTTATGTATTTGCAGTATGGTACTAAGAACTAAAATCATGCCAAATGCTTCTTGCTGTTTGCTAGCTTTTTTTTTTTTTTTTTTTTTTTTTTTTTTTTTTTTATTTATTTTGCCCGAACAAAGAATTCAGTTGTGAGGACATTTCTGCAGTGACACATGTGCATCTAATGCATGTCCTGTACATTTTGTCACCAGAACATTTCTCAGATGCCTGATATAAATCRTCATTCTTGATTAATATAAATAATAAAATAAAATCCCAAACCAAAAAAGGAGACGAGACACTGAACACTGATAGTTGCCCACATAAAACACTTGATAACAACTGTCAGGCTGTGTGACAGAGCAGGCCACTACAGAAGTTCTTGTGGTAATAGCTCAGCATTGGGGCTTGAATTACTCATCAAAGGTTTTTTCCTTTCAGCAATCAGTTTAGCTCAGTTGAAATGAAAGAGCTAGAATGTGCATTATAGACATTTCACAGATGTTATCTTTGCTAAGAGTTTAGGGAGATCTGTGATATGTGGGTTCCTTTCTTCAACAGAATGTGAATACAGTGTCTCTCTCTGTAATGAAAATGTGAATGCATACTGTACCTTATGAGATAAACTTGAATTCTTCCCATTAATGTATTTTTGTGTTTACCATGCTAATATTCAGTGTTAAATAGATGCACTGTGTGAAAGCTATGCTCTGATTTTTTTGGTGATTTCCATGTGATAGGAATGGAGTTCATAGGCACCACTATGTCCAGTTTTGAAAACAAAAAGTCAGTGCACAGAATGCTGTTTGTTCACAGCAAAATGGAAAAGATGGGGAAAAAAGGAGCTTTTGATTTTGTTCAGCTTCATATATGTTTTATCAATGAAGTCAGAGCCAAATTAATAGAAAACATCAACATCCACATGGAACCATTTGAAGAAAATAATTTACTATTTAAGATTGTCTATTTTTGCTTTTGTCAGTAAGGAAGCTGAAAAGATAAGCCTGCTTAAAGAATGGTATTTGTTAAGTGATTGTGAACAAAGTATCAGTGGACCTCATGTATTTCCAGAGAAGTTTTAACTGGATGTGTGATGTAAATTGTAGAGTTGTATGTAAATCGTGTTAGTCACTGTTTTACATTGTATTGTTCTGCAGTGCACAAATGTGACTACTGAACACAGAAGCRTTACATTCATTGAACTTAAAATCTTGTTGCAGTATATAGTTCCCCACTTTTTGTGCCAAAAACATCAATACATTCCATAATCAGTTCTAATAGAGGTTTGCACTTTGATTTAATTTTTTTTTTGTGACTCTTGCAGTTTCAATACTATATATGCCCATCACGAAGGAATAAAGTGTCAGTTGTACCGTGCTCTGTGTAGTTTGTGTTTCTTGTTTTGGAACTGGAAGTATATGTATTTAATTTAATTTAATATTGTTTCATGCTGTCTTTTTATTTCCAAGTTTATTACATACCTAGAAGTGAAGCCAGTTATAGACACTGCCACTAAAACCCTTAAGACTGTTAGGGGAGATCTTGACTCTTTAAAAACAAATCATAATTTTAGATTCTGCCTTTAAKAATAAYRTATAGARAGAGGAGATGTTGCCTKTGAGTRSTCATGATTMATTTTAYTACTGTCCAAGTAACTAAACAGATKCTAGCACARTGCASTGYRTTTCTCTGTAGYTCCTGAATYTAYTGTAACWTACAAAAGGTGAAACTACAAAGRTTYAGTGGCATTCCCATTATTGTTAAATTATTTTCCATAACTCTTGTGTCTTTTCTCCCCTGCAATGTCAGGAGAGGTGACTGCACTCCAGACACTGCTTTGAGGTAATAGGACAGATAATTGCATGTCTTGTGTCTGAATACCTTCCCAGTGTCCTTGGGGCTGCTCTCTGCCTGCCCCCTTGTGCTCTAATTCCAGCAGGTTACAATATCAGGATCCTGCATGTGGGGAGACCGTGCAGCCACTCCAGGCTTCATGGGTGTGTGTGAGGGCTCGTGAGCCGTCAGTGCCATCTCCTGGCAATCCGGGAGTCACTTGTCCAACGCCTCAATATTGTTCTTTCAGCTTTTCAAGAAACCCAAGATAATTTAACAGAGTAGGAATTAATAAATTAACTGTAGCAAAAACAATTGCATCACTTTTAAACTGTACATTTTCGCTAGTAATAGGACTTTAAACAAACCCTAATTTATTATTCTTGCCAGAGAAGTGGGGACAAAAGGATCTCAATACAGCCTTYATACTAATCTAACAACACTGGTTAAAAGTATGATTTTTATACTAATGTATTTAAATCAATGCTRTGTCTAATGTGAGTACATTTAGTGTGATGCAATTAGTATTTTAAACTACTGCATTTACATGTATATCCATATCTGCAGGAGTGAGTTGGTACTAATTTCCTTGAATAAATGGCAATGATTGAAAATTAAAAAAATATATAAAGCAAAGTCCACTTGCCACATTAAGAAGTTTCTCACAGAAAATCAAACCTTAAAAAAGTAAAATCACAGTATTTAACAAATTTAGCTGTAGGGTATTACTTCATCAGGTAGAGACTTCTGCACTTGAGTTTACAGATTCAGTCCCCACTCTTAAATACATACTTCKTGAAAAACATCAGTCACTGTCTCCTGCATCATAATGCCCAGACATTCTGATGCTCTCAACAACCTCACCCCAAAAATTCATGATCTCTAGGTTGATTGCTTTGGTTTAATAAATGAAAACTTGCCACTGGTTGCGACAGATACCTATTGAGCTTGGGAAGGACCCTCAATCTGTAACTAAATCAAATGCCTTCCCTTCTCTCTGCCTGGCAGCTTTCCTCCTCCTCCTCCTCCTCGTCCTCCCTAAGGAATCGTGGGTGTAGAGTCCCACATCTTTCAGGAGCTGGGGTGTCCTGCCAGCTTCAGAAAAGGGTCAGCAAGAATCAGGAGCAGAATGGGATGGGAGCACATGGAACTCCCAGGGAGAGGCCCCTGCTCTGCAGTAAGGACACACTGCCTGGAGAGAGGTTCATCAATGAGGGCAGAAGGGGAAGAAAACCTGGAGCCAGTCATAGCTCTGAAAAGCTGACCAACCTCTTAGAAAGTGTGACAGTGTTACAACATTTTCTTCACCTTCACAAGGAGTTTTGTAAACACCTCTGGGTTGGACAGTTTTCAAGATTTATTTTGGAAATTTACTGTAGACATTTATACTAGATGGACATTACATGTGTGCATACTCATAAAACAGTGTAATGTCCAAAATCTTCCCAGCTGCCTTGAAAGAAATGAAAGAAATGATCCCTAACTCACCTAACCTCATTGAGGCTCACTTCAGAGTATTGAGTGGCTGTTACTCTCCTGAAAGGAGATTCATGCAGAGAGTAGCCTTCTTCCTGCTGCCTGGACCATTAAATCCTGGTAGGGTGTTTTGGCATTGTCTGCTAAAATGTCTTCTGTTCTTGTATTCTCTAACCACATGCTCTCTTCCTGACTGCAGAAGTTAAATCATTCCAGTTTGTCTCCTACACGGCTCAGGAATCATCAGCAGCCTAACCCTCCAGACATCACATGGCTTTGAACTGCACCTCTTGCTGAGCAAGGTTATTAGCAAATATTCTAAATCCACAATGCATGAGAGATGTTTTTATCAGCAGTGGTGTATGCAGCCACCGGAGTCCACAGTATAATTCACCTTGAAGAGGAAGAGCTGAAARGCATGTGATTTAATAAACAAGGGTGGGAGTCAGGGGCTGGGACGGTGCCTGGCTCTGTCTCAGAATCGGTTCCCTGGAAGCATCAGAGAAGCTGAAACCTTTCCAYTGTATTTTGGCAGCATAGTACAGATTAGGGAGGATCAACATAAGTGCTTGAACATGGAAAAAAATGGTCTGCCCTGCAGCCCTCTGAGCAGGAAAACGGGAGATAGTTTACTTCGTATTTCAGATGTTTAATGTAGTGATGCACAGTTTTGAGAAATTCAAATGCACTACAGCTAAGAAAGGCACCMCAAAGAAAGGGTGGGAATAACGCAGGAGGAGGTGGGCTTGCSAAATGTCCGGCAATSAGGGCTGCATGGCGAGGGTGGGTTTGAAAAGAGTCTAATGAAATTAAATGAAGATTAATGAAGTTTGAGATGCTGTCGTTTCCCTGGGGAGGWGGCGCCGTGTCCCGGCGGGGCAGCAGCTCCCTCTGGTGCTGCCTTGGAGCACAACCTGTGCAGCGGAGGGGCTTCAACGCCGTCAGTCCCCAAAAGCTGCGGGGAACCCGCGCCGCCCGGCACTGCCCGGTACCCCAAAGCCGCTGTCCCGACGTGCCAGCACCCGGACGAGCCGCCCGCGCCGGGAGCTGCGGGCCCCGACACCGCTCCGCACCCTCAGGACGCCTTTAGCGGACGGGCTGTCACAAGTCTCCGGCAGGGCCCGGGAAGGGCAGTTTCAGCCCGTGTCCCAGCGGCACAGCGCTCCCGTGGCGAGGAGCCCTCGCCCAGTCCGTGCGGCCGGAGGAGCCGGGAATGGCCCGAGCCCGTCACCAGAGCCGGGGATGGCCCGGACCCGTTCCCGGAGCCGCCGCCGCCGCCACAGCGTCCGCTGCACTGCGCGGGGCCGGGCAGGGCGGGGTGAGGCGGAGCGCCGGCACTGAGCGCCCATTGGCGGAGCCGGGAAGGGGCGGAGCGTAACGCGTATCCTGAGCGCCCATTGGTAGATGCGGGCCAGGGGCGGGGCCAGGCCGGGAAGCGGCTGCGGCCGCAGCTGGTGCCGGCAGGGGGCGGGGCGGAACGCCGGCCCTGAGCGCCCATTGGCGGAGCTGGGCGGGGGCRGAGCCCGGGCCGGAAGCGCCGCCCCGCGCGGGTTTCCCCAGCGGCGCCGCCGAGGGTTCGCCATGGAGGGCCCCGGGTCCTGGTSCAGCTCGGGGGTCGCGGGGCGGCCGCTGACTGAGGACGAGATGGCGGAGGTGAAGAAGGATGTAAGTGCCGGGCGGGACCGAGAGCCCGAGGCCCGGGCCGGGCGCGGAGCGATGAGTGGAGCCGGTGCGGGGGCGGGGGAGCGGAAGCGCTGTGGGAGCGGGTGCGGGGACGCGGCGCGGGGGCGGCAGGAGGGACGGGACCGGCGCGCCCGGGAGGGCGGCGGGGAATTTGGGGCGCGGCTCTGCCCTCCGGCAGTGTGAGGCTGATAATGGCTCACCAACACTTACCCSGGGCCCGGTGCTCACCCCGAGTCTCGGCCGTGCTTTGTGTTGCTGCTGGCCGCCCCTGTGTGGCGAGGGTTCGGTTTGTCCCGGTGTCTGCTCCGCGATGAGGCGCAGGAGGCCGCAGACGGGATGGGTGACATGGTACCCAAAGCCTGGCTGAAAGAATTCGTGCTGCTCCTGGTGCCAAATAGAATTCTGTCTTAGCGTGAATATGTTCATTAAGTTTTGGTTTTTTTAATTGAAGCTTATATTTTTAAATTGAGGTTCTATATTTTCYTGTTTTCTCCCCTCATACTTACTGRARTCTAAGGGAGGATKTCATCCTTATTCAGTCTGGATTAATTTATCTCWTTGTGAGACTGGGAAGCAAGTTGGTGGTGCTAACCAACCTCAACAAGTGATTGTTTAATTTTAAAAAAGTAAAATCACAGTTTATCATTTATTTATTGCYTRTCYATGGTCCTCTTTGTAATTTATGGTKTCTTATGTTTGACKGATTGGGGTTTTTYAAAGTTCCTTTKAAGTACAGTAAAGTYTCCTTGGAGTTTGAGTTCCATTTCTTTCTAGCTTTATGCTTAAGTGATTTCCTTTAAATGCTTTGTCATAGTTCTGTGAGACATGTTTTTCAAGTTAGTACTCGCTTCTGTGGAATCACAAGTTAATACTGCAATAGCTGGTATTGAGTAGTTGCACCAAAAAAGAATAAAAACTACTAGAGTCAGACAATATATATATATATATAACATGGTAAGGGTGTTAGTCTGGGTCAGTGACTGAACCCTCGGCTGCACTTCACAGAGGTGCACGAATGTCACTTCAGCCCTTAATCTTATAGGTTCTCCCATAATACTTGGAGGGCATCATGGAAACCTTAGGTAGAAACAAATAACATTCGTTTTATCATCAAAATGCTGTCCAGTAAACCTGACTTTAGAGTTTCTGCGCTCAGATTTTAAATGTGGCTTCACAATCCAGTGTGCTGGTTCAGTGTAAATTCACTCTCAGAGCTGTTCAGGTAACTTCAATGGGATCTCTGCAAGTCAGGGTGCATTTGCATGTGTTTTGGATGTCAGTAATCTGTTGAACTTGTCAATAGTGGTGTGTATTTACAAACGTATTGAACTGTGAGTATATTAAAGCTGTTGCTCTGAAACTGCTTTTGCTCAATGCAYAGAAAACATCAATAACTGCAGTATTTTGGAGTTGTGCCTCAAGGATACACACAGTATGGAGATGGGGCAATCAGATTTACTTGACTGTTTTGAAATGTGCTAACCTTAGGCTTTATGTAGTCACATTTTCTATGAGTAGTCACCTTATTTCCAAACAAACATTAGAACTGAGTTCAGTCAAAGAGTTAATGAAAGGGATAATTAGGTAACAGGTTTTTTTTTTAAAAATTTACTCTGAGAAAAATCTCAACTAAATAACACAGCGCCAGATTTAAAAATTATTTTGCTAACCTATATCAAAATAATACAAGTTCCAACTACAGACTTCTAAATAACTTGAAATGTTGGCTGAYACTGGTTTGTTTTGTTTTTCAGGCTTTAGAAAGGATGCGTCCTTACCTGTGTGATAAAATCATAGCYGAGAGACACTTTGATTACCTGCGTTCCAAGAAAATACTCACTAGAGAGGACACTGAAGAGATTTCTGCTCGATCTTCCAGYAGGAAAAAGACTGGGAAGTTATTGGACTACTTAGCAGAAAATCCAAAGGGACTCGATGCTCTGATTGAATCGATCAGACGGGAAAGAACACAAAACTTCCTGTTACAAAAAATAACTGATGTAGTGTTGAAAGTCAAAAATGAAAAGCTTGAAGCTATTAAAGGTAACAAATTTATAATAATGTTGTGTAAGGCAGGTTTTATTTTATCTACAAAATTAAAATCCAAAATTACAGTCTTCCTCTGGTATTTGGAGCAACATGTTTGAAAATATCACCAGTTTGGGTTTAAGACCTAGTGCATGTATTCTGTCTTTACCTTTTTACTATCTGAACACATCATAAATAACAAAAATAACAAATTGCAAAAAAAAACCCCTATTGTGTTGTTATGATGGATAAATCTGTCTTCACGTTTCAGTTTTGCTTTTCARAAATGAGAGGTTATCTTCCATCTTCATTTCTCTTGAAGATATTTGCTGCAGTGGCAGGATGCTCTGGTTTTGTTAAACTTTGTGCCTCAGCAGAAGATGTGCTAGCAAATGCAACTTGAGGGGAATTTCCCTGTATGCCTTCAATGCCACAGTTTAAGATTAGACATTTTAAATTTTTGTGTGAGTTGTTTCATACAGGCTTAGAGGTTTTGTTGACATCCAAACCTTGAAGTGACTGTGTGTACTCACATTTTAAGGCAGGGGAAGAAAGTACAGGCTTTCTCCACCAAAAGGTTTACTTCCCCTTCCACACCCATCAAAAGGCAAATAAAGAAGGAAGAAGTAAATTATAACCCTAGAGATGAAGGGCCTGAAGTTTTCTCTGCCTTCAGGTAAAATAGCTTGGAAGCAGAACCATCAGCTGAAGCTTTTGAAAGTTTGAAGAACACAGAGAGAGAAATCTAAAAAAAGTTGGGCTGAAGGGCTAAAGTGACTTTCTAAAATGAATCTTAAGTTGGGGTGCATCTTTGTCAAATACTGTCTGATACTGAGTACAGAGAGACCATATCAGCCCAGATAACCTGCTTGTTTGTTCTTTAATTTGTCAGCAATAGTGGATATCACAGGTGAGATGAAGGGTTAATCTGTTGAAAATGCAAACAACTGATCTTTGACAGTCTTACTGATACTAAATCAGAGCACAGTTTTAAGATGGCCYCATACTGTAATTAAATCCAGTATCTCTTTTTTTGTCGTAGGTCTAAGCTGCAGCACCTGTATGACCTCACTGTACGGAGGAACAAATGATCTCTCTAGATCATTTTCTGACGAATCAAATTTTTTGGATAAAACAAAAGACAAAGAATCTACCCAGATGCATCATCCAGAAGAAGATTGTAGCACCGCTGCATTTGTGTCTGCTTTGTCTCTTCATTCCATGAATTTACCAATTGCAGAGATGGGAAATTCTCAGTGCAGTGTTTTCTTAGCCACCCTCCCAGGGCCTGGAGATCCCGGTGCACCCCCTCTGCCCCCAGAGCTCCAGTCAGACCAGCAAGAACCATGTACCAGTTCAAGTGACAATTGCTTTTTGCCTTTAAGATCACGTTCTGTTCAACGGCAGTGAACTTAGTGACCTTTTTCCAGATGGTACTGAAACTGTGTGATGTCTCCTAAAGGTTAACAAATGTTTTCAAACTGTTGGAAAATATGGAGGAAATAATTATGCAATTTCTGTTTTAATTTTGTAATTGTGTGATGSTGGAGCTGCTTGACTTTTTGTGATTGTTTTGGTTTTTTAGGGAGCTTTTTTCAAAATACTGTGCTATTATACCAGCAAATATTTGGTTTTTAAACCAACGTGTATAARATTTCACATTTAGTTGCAGATACTTTAGCTGGAATTATAGAACAAATGTTTTTTTTTTTTTCCTACAGAAACTAACAAACCAGCTTTTCTTAGTCACTTTGTGGATGGATTAACTGGGAAAGATGCTTAGGAAAAGTATTGAGTATGGAAAAATAACTTTCTGAACTAAAAGCTTAAGCTTACTTACCAAAAAGCTGATACTCATTTACCAAGTTAAATGTTGCTCACTAGGATAAATTCTGTTCTCCATGTATGTGTGTGCTCCTCCATTTGCAGACAAACCTCAGAAATCTGGCCAAATCCACGCTTGTTTGCAAGGAGTCTCTTCCTTATGTGAACTTTGTCCTGCTGGTAAATCAAAAGGCATCAGTATCGCATATGCACTGCTGCAGGTCTTGGCATATTATTCTTGTATATTAATTAAAGATTACTGATTTGAGATGCACTTTAAATATAAATTCTCATTAGTACTGGAATAGGAATGTAAACTGATCTARCAACATTGTGAGGGCTGTAAGTAAACATTGTAGGATGCTATTAAGTAGCAAAGCTTGTATGTTTTGTCCCACTAGGGAAGTGGAGGAGAAATTGTGTGTCAAGAAAGTATTCCTGTCTGAAGGACTCTTGGAAATGGGGCACTTCAGATACCTCCTCTTCAAAGCAGACAGACAGGTTTACATTTCATATTGTTTAGAGTCAAATGCATTTTAAACTTTTTCAACATGGGAAGGTTCTCATTTCTTGACACCATGTAACATATTGTGTTCCTCATACTCGAGTTGTAACCTACCTTTTATGCAGGTGCCTATAATTTCAAAATTATCTGATGAACTCTTGGACACAGGTACAGTTGTGTTCTGCAGTGCTACACTTTAAAGTGATGGGATGCTTCAGTATGTCAAAGGGTAGGTTTGTATTTAATACCCTAAATTATTTTGGCTCTCATATTGTGTATAGCCATGTAATCCTATTCAAATTCACACCCAGGTAATACTACTGAACTCTTCTCCTTTTGTGGAGACAGCCTATCTGCAGGACCTCAATATAGTCTCTATAAACTGTTTTTCATTATTATTCTGATTTTGGAAATAGATTAAAATGAAATGCAATGTTGAACTACACTCCAACCCAAGTAAATGAATAGCTTACACGTGAGAAAGAGATGTTTATAAAAATCCTTGTTTTTCTTGTCTACATCTACAGTTGTAGACTGTCAGGATGGTGAAAGTGCTTTTCAGTGAAACTGCTCTGGAAATTAAATGCATGGAAATTAAATGCCTAGATGTGCAAGCAAAACTTTGCTCTATAACATGAAATTAAGGACAGGATGAACTCCCTCTCTTCCCTTAACTTGAATTGTGGTTGCACAAATTCCGGACATCTAAAAAGTGATTTGTATTCAGTCCCACTATAACCACTTACAGAGCTGTGCTTAGGCTTGAGTCCCGTTCTGGGTTCTTGTAACAAGAGGAGAGTGAGCAGGGTTGGCCTTAACAGACAAAATGCATCAGCTCAGGGTGGAAGCTGCCTTGCTGCTCCCCATCCTGCAGGGACCACGCCCAGCACAGCCTACGAACCTGAGACCTTGAATGAATGTATTATCTTACCAAATGTTTATAATATGCATTTTTTMAAAAATACTTTTATCACAACTTTTGGAATAAATTCTTTTGTATAATTGCCTGTTTTCCTGTCTGCCTCCCATTTTTAAGATGTTCAGGTTGCAAGAGTTGTTCATTCCGTTAATATGATGTGTGGTTTTGGTTTTGTGTGTGCGGGAGGCTTTTTTTTGTTCTCCTTGTCTTTTTAGAGAGGTTTGTGTTTGGTGGAAAGACTGACTATGTGAAACACCTTTGCCCGTAGGACTGCACTCAAGAGCAGTCTGTAAGGAAAACATGCATGTGAAATCAAGAGCTGTGCTGCTTAAGTAGTTTCTGTGGTTTGTGCCTACTATTGCTAACCTTATACTTGCTTTTYTTCAAATTACTCTATTGCTCGACTTCCTACGGATGTGAGAGGAGTTGCTTCCAGCCACACATATCTTGACTTCATTCTTGAATTAAGATTTTTATTAACGGGAGAAACAAAAGCATTGAGTGCTGAGAAGTATGACTCAAAATAAGGGTTTGCAAATGCTGCAGGGACTATGGACTTTCCATTCAGGGGTTGTTTTGATTGTACTTTGTGTATAGGGCTTATTTCAAAATAATGATCAGCGTATTGATTATGGGAGATCAGCAGGATATGGGTTAGTATCTTCACAATAAAGGAACTGATCATATTGTAATCAAAACCCCTCCCTCAGACCTTATCCTGCTTCTGGTAGTATAAGTAATCTGAACATAGAATCATAGAATATGACTTGGAAGGGTCCCATGAAGATCCTCGAGTCCAGTTCCCACCCTGCACAGAACACCGCAAGAGTCACACCAKGCGCCTGAGAGCGTTGTCCGAACACTTCTTGACCTCTGTCAGGCTGGTGCTGTGACYRCTGCCCTRGRGAGCTGTTCCAGTGCCYGGCCACCTTCTGGGTGAAGAACCTTTCGCYTATATCCAGCCTAAACACCCCAAGAATCGTTCACTTATATCCAGTCTAAACACCCCGACTCAGCTTCGTCCCGTTTGAACACTACCAGTGCTTTAGCTCATSCAGTAATGTAGGTACGAGTAAATCACAAGGAGACCTAGTACCAACTTAATAACAACAAATACGAAAAATAGGGCTTAGTGAAGATACCCTCGTGGATGGTCAGCGCTGTGTGTGCTCTGGGTGGGTGATCAGACATTAAGGAAAACGTGTTTTCCCTGCAGGTGTGAAAAGGGAGAAATGAAGGTTGGCTGGGTTTCGTGTCTGATTTCRGTGTCTGGTCACTCGAAAGGAAGCACCGGGGCTACGGCGTGAGCCCTGCCCCTCCCCCGGCGGAGGAGCTCCCCCCGCTGCCGCCGGCCCCAGGGTCAGCTCCGCGCTGGGCCCCGGTCCCGGAGCAGCCGCGGGCTCGCTCGGAGCGCGGCGGGGCCGGAACCCTCGGCGCGGGCGCGGTTTCCGCGGGCGGTGCGAGGCGCGGCCCCGCCATGGCGGCGGAGGGGGAGGATCCGCTGGGCTATTTCGCGGCCTACGGCAGCTCCAGCTCCGACTCGGAGCCCGAGGAGCCCCAGCCCGACGAGCGCCCGGCGGGGGCCAGCGCGGCCTCGGAGAGCAGCCCGGGGCGGCCGCGGCTGCCGCCGCCCGACGAGCTCTTCCGTCGGGTGTCGCAGCCGCCCGCCTTCCTCTACAACCCGCTCAACAAGGAGATCGACTGGGAGAGCCGCGTCCTGCGGGCGCCCGAGGAGGTGCGTGGGGCGCGGGGTGAACCGCGGCGGCGCTGGGGCCGCCCCGCGCCCTCGGCCCGGTGTGACGGGCGCTCTGCTCTCTCCCGCAGCCCCCCAGGGAGTTCAAGGTGTGGAGGAGCAACGCCGTGCCCCCGCCGGAGACCTACAGCCCGCCCGAGAAGCCGCCGCCGCCGGCCCCCGCCGTCGACATGGCCATAAAATGGTCCAACATYTACGAGGACAACGGCGACGACGCGCCCCGGCCGGCCGGCAAAGCCAAGTTCCTGCCGGACGAGGAGCAGGAGCTGCTGGAGTCGGGTGAGGCCCTGGCTGAGGCGGCTGTGCCACGCACAGGCTGTGTGAGCCCTCGGAGCCGGGCTGGGCGGGCGGCGGAGCCCTCTCTGCCTCGGGGAAGCTCTGCTGGCTTCTCCTGCATCCGCTGCTGCCCAGGGGCAGAGCGCTYCGGCTGCAGGGCTGGTTGGATTGCAGTGCCGGTGTTTTGGCTTTCCTGGGATCAACACACACTCTCCGTTGTCATTAGCAGGGACGGGTTAGACTCTGTAGCACTAGTTCTATGAAACTATCAGGTTCAGTCATGGTGCTGCTAAAACAGAAGTTGGTATGGGAGCTATGTTGGTCTTAGTTGTAGATGTCGGTCAGATTGCTTTTATAACGTTTGCAAAACTTGGGGTCCAAGAGAGGAAGATAGGATGTCCATGGGACAGATAACTGAAGAAAATATTTACTATCCTCTTTGCTTTCAATCATGGTACAAGTTGTAATGGTAATGTAGGAAGTAAAGAAATATTTCACAAGTAGGAAGATTTTTTTTGATGGCTGGAGAAGGAGAATAGCCACCAACAACCAAGAGAACAGAACCAGAAGAGGWAATTCTGGGTTTTCAGAACACATAATAATTTATTCGTTCACCAGTAAAGTTGTCAACCAAACCTTTTCTAAAGGAAGGATTTTTTTCTGCCTTGTGCCCGTTTTGGTTCTGGGTGTTCTTTCCCAGTGGCAGTTTTTATGTTTAGCTCCATGTGTTCTGTGTGTTTCCCTTCTCCATGCATTTAGTCAGCCTTCGTCCACAGTGAGAAGATAAAAGGTTAAGAAACCTTGACATTATTTCGTGCTTCAAAAACGTTATTTTCTAGCTTTTTTTATTAGCTAGCCAAATAATTTTGTTTTTACAATAGGTACTGTACAGTAGTAGCATAAAGCCTCTTCTTAATTACCTGCAGTGGATTGTGGTAGTAATAAGAAGTAACCATTCCTGTTATGTCCACATATTGTCTGCATTCCAAAAATGAGGATCTTGTCAGTTAATACTTGTGTGTCTTTTTTCTAGGCATCTCAGATGTGGTTAAGTCAGTTGTTCTGAGACAGGATGGTGTTTAAGACAAACAACTGCCTTTGCTGACTTGGATTAACTCTTTCTTTTTTTTTTTAAAGATGGTGAAAAAGATGATGAACCAGCTTCTGCTAAGAAACGGAAAGTAGAGTCTGGAGAGCAGGCAAAGAAGAAGAAGAAGAAGGTATAAGCAGGGTGTTTCAATGTAGACATAATGAGAATTTCAAGGAACTCRGATTCCTCTGCTGGAATGGGAAACAAATCTGTGTTTACTGAATTTCTCTCTCGTATTGGGTAGGGAATTTTATTTCTGTAGTATGCTTGCCTTTTGGAAAGCACAAAATTAAATGGACATTGTTGTGGTAGAACWTGTTTACTGAACAAAATTCAAACCTGTTTATTTAAAAGAAGGATTTAGAAGAGAGATCCATTGCCATGGATACATGTGCTCGTGCAGGTTACAAGGCATCACAGTATTTCATCAAGAATCCTGGTAATGTGAGTTTTGCTGGACTGACTTTTCCATTGTGTCAAAACCTTTTATAAAGGAGTATATACTAAAGATTTTTTAGGTTTGGTCTGTGATATGTTCACATAATGTTGTTTTTAAATGTATGTACAGACTGCAAATAGTCACTGGAATAAAACTACATTTGAAAACATCTGCAGTATAAATATTGCATTGCGTGCTCGGTGAATAGGATCAATGAATTCTGTACTGTATGCCATTCAGTCATGTCTGACTTAACAGATACCTCAGGGCTTTTTTTGTTTAAATAAATACACAACTACAAACTGAATAAAGGGACCTAAAAATGGAGTTTAATATTTTATGATTATTTTGATGTTACAGGATCTTCATCAGTGAAAATGAGACTAACTGATGGGGGAAGAATTGAATCTAATGTATTCTGCCTGAAACAGAAAATAGAATCTAGATATTTATGTGGACCAAAAGYATGACAAAGCTGTGATAGAGTCTCTTCTGCCAAATTGTATTTATTTCAGTGCAGACAGTTGGTAATCTTCTCAAAGTGCTAGTCAGTAAATGTTTCATTTTTGATATGCTGCTGAATGGGATTTTGGTCTGTATATGACAAGGTACCAGTTGTACTGGATTGGAGAAAGGCTTGCTATATATTTTCAAATAAAGATTCTGTGCCTTAGGAAATCTGTAGTGAGATTAGGGCCTACTAATAGAAGTTTTGTATGATTAAATTTTTAATGTAAAAATGTGYTTTCTGTTTTCCTTCTGTCTTGAACTAGCTTTACTTTGGCAGAACAGATTCAGTATTGCATATGTGCTAATATGATGTTAATATTTTTTAAGTGATTTTAAGAGTTTTTTTTTTAACCTCAATATATAGAAAAGCATGTTCATTTTTAGTGAGTGTATGAACTTGTTAACAAATCATGCAGTTCTAGCCTTGGCAGTGTGATAATGCTTTCTCTGGATCCTTGTCTACCTGCAGACTCTGCAACTGCTCCTTGCCAATTTTACAGGCTGTGGGGCCAAATCTGTGATATATTCCAGCCATTCTGTGCCAGCTGTAGATGGAAGTTTTTATGCTAGAGATGCTTCAGTGCATCATCTTCAGRAAAAGATGATGAGAGAAGTGCTACAGTGCTGCAGCTTCTGAAGCAACTCAAAAGACTTCAAGAAACAGACTGGAGGTTTTCTTCAGGTTTGGGCAGCTTATGAAAATTTGTCTATGCTTCAGAGTCTGTGAAACATGTGAGTGARCCCCAACTAAACTTAAACAGATAGCTGAGATGTTCAGAAATGTCTTAACCATAAAACAGTTTATCCTGGATTGTCTTTCAAGGGAAGGCAGTGACAATGAACTGCTGACAAATGGGAAAGATTGCTTCTGAAAATTAGTCCTCTATTAAGTCATCATTCTACTGTTTTTATAACTAATCAAATTTGATTACAATCGTGTAAAGGGAAAAAAAAGAGCAGTAAAAATGCATAGGGTTTGATTTGATTAAAAATTTGTCAAAATYAGAAAAACCATGTTTGGAAGGCAGTTAATTTGCAATGAGCACATTGTGTTGCTTCCATACGCTGGCACAATAGCACCTGCAGTACTTGGTTTTCCAAGAAAGGCAGGATGACCTGGAAAAGAAGAATTCACATCAGTACAGAAGTACAGCTGTTGAGGATAATGGCAGACAGTGCTGCTTCCCAGAAATTCTGGCAGGGAGGTTGTGGAGAAGCATCCATCTAGTTACTGTGCTGTTCCTGTTCTTGATGCAGACTGCTTCTGTTGAAATGCCTATTCATTTACAAATAGTTTGATAAGCTTAATGCTGCCAATATGAAAGTAAATCCAGAGAAATMTAGTGTGTTCCATAAAGAGTAATTTATTGTGAACCTGGAATCAGCACAGGAAGAGGCATTTTTATCACTGGAGAGAAAGCAGTGCTGGCTCACTSTGGTGACAGGAAGCTCATTTGCCAGCTTGCTAATCTTAGGGAATCATGGCACAATCAGGACAAGAAAATTCAGTTCTTTCAGCCACCAGCACGATCAATTTGGATTTTCTTTACAGACTTGAAATGTTCTTGTTTCTGTGTTAGCTTGCTGATTTTATCCAAGCCCCTTTGGCCACTGGTCACASATGTTTGTGCTTTTGCTTTGGGTGTGGATTGGATTGCAGCTGAAGTGTGTGTTCTTGTAGGATAAATGGTTGTACCAGTTGAAAGARAACCCTGGCAATGGCTACAGCTGTGCAGCATTTCCATTTTGAGAAGTGTGATTTAAGGACACCCACAATTRCTTGTTAGACTGGAAAAATCTGAAAGGCTGTTTTCCCAGTAGCCAGAGAAATCCCAGGACCCTCAGGCCTGGGCACAAGCATGGAGGTATCACTGCAGAGGTGAGCTTGCTGACAGGCCAGTCACTCTAGCAGCTGCTGAGTGGGAATGGCTGYCCAGGCATGCTCAGGAGGAGATGCCAACTCCTCTGTAGTTCACAAGAGGGCAAATGTTACAGAGGAAAAGAATTCTCAAAAACACTAGCATAAGAGRTGATTAGAAAACCCTTGAGCAAATGGAGGCACCTTGCTGTGAAATCTGATTCCATTACTGCCAAAGGCATTTTCTGGCTGCACTGACTGAGGTGAAGTTTAACAAATGATGCAGCAAGAGGCAGTGATTAGCTGGGCAGGCTGTGGCTGTCTGAGAATGTCAAGACTGACACAAAAGCAGGATTTCTGTACAACAAAACATTGGCAGAATACAGAATGGGAATGGGAATCTGAGGGAGCAGTTCCCTTCTGAGACTTGGTAGCAGTGGACTGCTTTCTTAAAGTTTAAAAATCATATAATAGGAACCAAGAAATAGCGGGGATAATGGAGGGAGAGAGAYTGCAATGAACTAGTTCTTTATGCTGAGAGTATCACAGACCAAAAGGAACAACATCACCTTCAGAGGAGTCCACAGAATTTCTGTCACTGCTAGAAATTTGCAAAGATAGRTTGGGCCTGGGAGGCAGAGTCACACCAGAGAATGGAATGGGTTTGTGCTGCTGGTTCCTTTGAACTGCTTTCTTCAGGGCACTTCTGAAAARAACAGGAATTTTCAGGGAAGCCAGTGCCTGTGGAGCTGGATTGATGGAAGAATGCAATGAATTCAATGAATGGAGATAAGCATTTTTAGTCCTTATCAAATAATTTTATCAGGGCTCTTCATTTAGAAGACTAAGTGGTCTTCATCTTTAGAATGCTTTAGTCTTGGTAGCTTCAGAAGATAAATCACATATTTGCTTTGCTGTAGTTGTGAGCAGCAACACAAGAACTCTGTATTTTGTTGTCTTCTAACTAGGTAAACTTGTTCTTGGAGCAAACCCTCATTTCCCRTCCCTTCCTATAACTTCTCCCACCATGTGTTTCTTGCTGCAGATGGACTGATATGAAAACAAATACAGGGTAACTCCAGGAAGGTGTAATGGGGAGTTAAACCTAAACCACAGAACTTCTCAGGGGAGGATTAACCCACTCTCCTCAAACCAACCCACCAAACACAAGAACCCTGCCAGCCGCAGGCTCACAGCAAAAGTCATTGGTAAGGAGTCTTTCTGTTGGAAGCAGAACACGGTCCAGTTTTGTTAAAAAAGTAACCTCTGTGACCTCTGACATGGGCTGGTAAGGAGTGTTTTGAGGAACCAGGCCAGGTAATAGGAGAGATGAATTTCACTTCTGTTGCAGAAGGGATCACTTCTACTTAATGAAGACCTAAAGAAGGGGTTCTTTACAGGGAAAAAAGTTTCTCTGTTAGGCTTCTGTTCTAGAAATGTGTCACTTTCAGTAATAATCCCTTCCTTAGGACTGATAAAATTGTATTTTGGATACTAAGAGCTTATGCATTGTCTGAAATGTTTCAAAGAGTTGTATATTTAATGTAGTCATAAGGTTGGCAGTGGCAAGGACTAGTTTAAAACGTCCTCTTTCAATGGTTAGGAATGCTGGGGCTACCATTAGTGACTTGTTCTCACAGGAACCTTTGTGCSGGGCTCTTGGATACTTGTAAAGAAGTATCTCTGACAGCTGTGTCACCATGATCTTTGACAATAGTAACACAATACTGCTCCCACCTTGAAAACTTACTCTTTTTGAAGTATCTCTATAAAGCCCATTTGCAGGTTTTCCAGCTGTGCTGCTCCAGCAGAGAGCGCTTTTGTTACCGCTGKCACAGAGCCTGTTGAATCATCTGCAGCTCAGCTCTACACTACAGAACCCAATTCCTTTCTAATTTTCTTTCTCATGCTCGATTAAGTGTTTCTTGAAACAGTGCACATCTGTTTTGTTTACTTTCTTGATATCTTACTCTAGACAAAGATGTTTTAAACAGCTTTTGCACTGTAAATTTCACATGATTTTTGAATGCTSTATGGGGAGAATTGCCATAATCCTTTCTCCTCAAAGGAATAATTCTTACATTGATGGATCATGATGAAAAAATTATTTGGTACACAATTTTAGTCAAATGTGTTTGTTTTCAACAAAGCAGTGAAAAWCAATATGAAAATAATGAATGGTTAAATGTCATGCTAAATGTCTATTTCAGACAAACTAATTACTGAGTTTCTAATTTCAAAGTTGAAATTTCTACTAATTTCAAAGTTTCTAGCTTAGCAGAGAAAAGCCCAAAAAGGGCTTTGTGACCTTGTGCTTAAAAAAGGTATCGTTTAAATTTAAGAATATTCAAGAAAAACTCTTATTTCTGTAAAATAAGAAAGTGAGGAAGAATTGGCTTTGGAAAGTTACATTTTTCTTATTATACAATGGACTTCTAACCTTCTTTCATGGAAGGTTACAAAAATTTGGCTGGAATGTGCCTTCCCAAGGTGACCCAGCCCACTGGCTGCCCCAGGCCAGCCAGGCCCACACCATTCCTGTCCGACCTCTTGGCTTTAAAACAGCACTGGGAGGGGAGACATGATCCAACCAGCACCACCAGCCCTTCTGCCTGTGCTTCTGTCCCTTCTGCAGCTTGGGGCTTTAGTGAATCAGTAGAAATCAGAAAAAGTATGCAGTTAAACAAGAGGGTTTAACTTTCTTCCTTTTGGGGAAACACATAACCCTCTCTAGCAGCTCCATGGTCTGTGGTTTTGTGTTCACACAGAGCAAGGATTCCTGTGTAAGCACAGGTGTATGTTGCTCAGGATGACATATTCTAGGTTATAAAATGTGATTTACCTCAGGATTTGCCTTGGTTCTTTGGTTGTGGAATAGCCAAGGGGGAAAAAAACCAATATTTAATGCAATTTTTAAAAAAAAAATTACTAATTCTAGACTAGATGACATAATTATAGCAAAAGATGTAATTTCTGAGACCAGTTTGGTCAGTCAGGCCCTGCAGTTCACTCAGAAGTTAAATTAGCCCTTAAACCCAACCTTTTTTTTTTCTCCAGGCTATTCAGAAGGAATGAAAAGAGAGTACCATTATACTCCAGAGAAGCAACAGGGGTCCTAGAGATGGAATCGACCCACTGTATGTGTTTCGGTTTTTAATTAAAAGACCTCATTTAATTTTTCACAGGATTTTTGCAACATAGGAAGCTGAAAGATAATGGTCTCATTCACTGTGAAAATACCTAATGTGATTTGCTTGTAGGGCAAATGTTTCCAGGGCTGGATATGCCCCATGATAAGTGGAAACTTCACTTGATGCGTGCTTTGGCTGCAGCAGGACAGTAAAGCTGGGGCTGACACAGCTATCTTCATGGATTGGTCTGAAATTCAGAGGTTAGTAAATACTGTTAAGTGGCTTCAATCCATCAATCAATCAATCAATCAATCAATCAATCAATCAGTTCATATAGGGAATATTTTGTAGATCATGATTTTTGCTTTTCCTTCTCATGCTGCAAAAATACCTGAGATTTTAATTGCATTCTGCTGAAGTTAACCTGTAAAACTATCACATTTATTAATTCACATGAAACTCTGCCRGATTTTCCATCAGAACTGTTTATATCCCAGACTGTGCATACACACTTGAGCATTAAGAACCAGAAATACTAGCAGCTGTGAAATCTGCATTCCTGGCACTTGGGAAATAATCCATTTCAGGTGATTTGTTCCATCTTGAACATTTATTTGTTTGTTTTTCTCAATTATATTGCATATGGGTTTTGTTTGCTAAATTAGTAGCTCTTCTGTTTTTATAAGAATCAGGTTTGCTGACCCTGCTGGCTAATGCTGTAGGGTTTTTGGGAAGCTCTAYGTAACCAGCTCTATTTCTGATACCGTGCTCAAGGATGCTCTTTAATCTGTGGTTACATTTGCATTAGTAAGTCATTTGGCACAATAGGGSAGTGCCTGTAATGTGAACTAGTCCCTGCTGCGGGCTAGCTCAGCTTTGCTCCCACAGGAGCAACGCCCAGCAGCAGTCCAAGTGCATTCAGTGCACTCCTAGAGTGTGTCCTCTAATTCGTGCTTCATCTGAAAGGAATCCAGCTGGTGCACTCTGCAGAGCGGAGTGGAGTCTGCCAGGCTGATAGGGAGAGTCACCTCAAAACCGAAATACCTGGGCAGGCTCACCCTGCCC